TTCTGTCACTAGTGTTAGGCCATTTCACTTAACCGTAAAAAGTTTACTATTTGTTTCTCCTTTCTTTGAATACACACATCTCCTTATTCTGAATTTCACCTTTCAGTGTTCTAGAAGATTCAGAACCTTATGTTCTTTAACTGTTTTTTTTGTTTGTTTGTTTGTTTTGTTTTGTTTTACTTATTTTCCTGTGGAAATTTAAGTGGATCTTGTTCTGACTCTTTCCAGATCACTTGCTTTTCATCTTTCCTAGTTTTTACTTCCTTGCCCCTACTGGAATGGGCACTGCCGGGGAATTTCATCAGGCATATCTTTGTAGTTCATCAATTTTCTCTTTGCTGTGCCTGCTCTTTTTGAACTCTCATTTTCTTTCTTCCTACTTTTTTTTTCTTTTTAAGCTATAGCTAGTCTTTTATTTCCCTCCCCCTAGTTTTAGGTGCTTGCTAGTGCTTGAATCTATGGGTATTCTGTAGACTATATGTAATATCCTTGGACTTTAAATTTAGTGTTTTTTCTTTTTTCTTATATCCTATTTTTGGGTTGAGACCTTCTGTGTTTGGTAATTTTTGATTATGAAATACTTGATTTATCTTTCTTTATGGGGATCTTAGAAGTTTGATTTGGTGAAGCTTTTCATCTGAAAGGATTTGTATCAACTTTGGGCATCAAGGTTTACATGCAGCTACTTTTCAGTTCCCCACTTGCTTCTGACCCAAGGCTCAGTATCCTGCCCCAGTGCTGCTCACCACTTGTGACTCCTTACTCCCAGGTTTATTTTCTCGCAAGAGGTTTGTTTCTTTTGGGGGGAGGGTGACTTTTAGTGTTACCTATTTCTATGAAATCAGCACCTTAAATAATTTTTAAAATCTAGAGTCCATTTGCAGTGGTGAATATCCTTTTAGTTTATCATTACTGGTAGCATCATAATGTTCTTTTATATTTAATTTTATTGGGTTATTGGAAAAGTCACGAAGCATTGTTTGAAAAACAGGAAATGATGTCATGACTTTTCTAACAACCCAATATTATATTTCATTGTGTATTAGAACAAAAAATAGTCCTGCCAAATGCAAGATTTCTTGGGGATACACATTTTTTTAAAAACTAGTTTCCATTTAAGCTAAGAATTATGAATTATTCTAAAGAAAAATATTAAATATTATAGATGGCAAATTTGTTAGTTTTCTATGTTGAGTAAAAGATTTGGGGAACCACTGAGCTAGGAAATCAGTATGAGAGGGGCACAGTGTATCATTTGGATTCATGGTGAGCCTAAGGCTAAACCTGTGGTGAACAAACAGCATGAAAATGGCTGTCAGAAAGGTATGGGCATGCGCTCTGGGCTTACAGAGAAAGGTCAGTAATAAACTTGGTGATAGTGGGAAGATAGGAAATGCTTCCGGGAACCCATTATTGAGGACTGTAGGCAATATAGGTGGTTGCAAAATAAACCTTGTTTGGTGATGAAAAGCAGGTAAGAGCTGCTTCTGAGTTATATGTCATGGAGGGACTAGAGAGAAAAGCAGGGGCAAGGGCACAGGTGGCCTCCTGTGCTGTGGTAGGGAGTTTGGGCTTTCTTCTGAAGATAAGGGGACACTCGTGAATGCTTTTAAGTAGTGTAATGCTATGGCAGTCTGAAGCGTGCCAAGATCCAAGGCAAGCCACCACTAAGAAGATTGCCTGTTTAATTAGTTTAGAGGGGAAGAGCTGATGCTGCACTGCGAAGTGGCACTGGTCATGAAGAGGTGTATATGTGCTAGTTTTAGGTTCCTTTAGGGAATGGAAATGACAGGATTATGTGGTCAGTTGGATGGGAATGTTGAAGGAGACTAAGGGAGAGTATAAACCCCAGATTTCTTGTGTGGGTAACCAGGTAACATGTAGAACATTATCTGATAACCTACAGAAGGAGAAAGTGCTTGGTTTTATTTGAGAAAAAGATGTTGGTTTTTGATTTACTGAGTCTGAGAAGCTTGTGTGGGGCATCTTCATTAAGATCCATTAGCATGGACAGGAGGGTCTAGCAGCCCACCTAGAGAGAGTGAGTCTTAGGCCAATTTACTGCAGTGCCGTATGAGATATTTTGAAGTGATACATACACACTGAAGGTTTCTGTAATAGCTAGGAATTTATGCTAATGTATATGAAAAACATAAATACACCAAACCAGCAATACCATGAATATTATTACTTAGGTCAAGTGAGTTCCATGAAAGAGAAATATAAAAATACATGTGATGTGTGCAAATGGCAACTGTTGTGGTGAAGCTATGCAAATGGTGGAAGTTCAGAAAGTGCTGTTTTAAGCATGGGTGTGGTGGATAAGGTCACCCAAGGAGAGAGTAAGTGTGAGAAGAAAAAGTGAGTTGACATTTGGGTGGCGGGGAATGGAGAAGAAGAGCCCATGAAGGTGACTGAGGAAGAGCAGCCAGAAGAATAGGAGGAGAACCAGGAGAAGATGGTCTTTGGAGTCCAAATGAAGAGTTCTGAGAAGGAGAAAATGGTCAACAGTGTCAAGTAAGTTGTAAGCTGAAAAGTGCTCTTTGGACTTAGCAATTAAGGTAGACCATTTACTGGAAGCATCCAAATAATGGATTTAAAAAAATCAAAAACCTAATCTATAACATTGAAGATAGTAGATTTTTATAGCATTTTCTATTTATCTATATGTGTGTGTATACAGTACTGTAGCGTGCGTACACACATACATATGTATTAACTAATTAGGTAGGCAGTATTGTGATTCCCATTTAATATATATGAGAAACTGAAGTCCAGAGAGATTAAGTAACGCCCAAAACTGAGGAAGTGAGAGAGCCAGGATACAAGTCCAGGAAGTTTTGTTCCACATTCTGTGATCTTAACAACTATGCCACATCTCCTGTCTGGTTAAAATGAACTAGAAAATAAAAATTACCCAATGTCATAATTCCAGTGTAGCTGGTATAGGGTTTGGTGTGGTGAGAACTGCCAGATTGTGAGTGACCAGCGTAAGTCACAGTGACTCAGTCTGTGGTGCATGAGCACACTGGCTGCATAGCGATAGATGCTGTGATGGTGATGTATAAATTGTGAGACAGTTCTTGGCATTTTCTGAATTTATGCAAAAGCTACTTGTCAGACAAAAATAGTTCCAAAGTATTTTCCCAAGATAGTATATGTACCATATTATGTTCCACGTTTTGGACGCTAAAATGTCTTCATAACTTCTCTAGTCATTGTTCCCTTTTGGAGTTAAATTCTCTATAATGTTGTTCATACAGAACAAGAACAGTTCCCAGGCATTGACAATAACCAGTCTATTGTAAAAGTTCACTGGTAACCTCCTTAAAAGTAGTTTCCTTTGAATGGTGGAAGAGGAAACCAGTTGTAGGAAACTGAAAGTGAATGAGAATGGGAGGAATTAAATGGGAGAAAATGGAAGAGTTCTTACTCTTAATGAGGTTAAAAATGTCTGATAAGAGATAGAGGGAACTCTTGGTTATGATCACAGGAGCTAGTCAGAATTAAAGATTTAAAAGCTATGTTAGGCCTGGGCATTGATCTGAGGTGGGGCCTTGGAAAGGAAGGGCCTAGGTGAAGTTTACTTTTTAGTTGAGGAAGTCCTTAACCCTGCAAGTCTAGGGCTTTGAAGGGGTCGTTTTCATTGGTCATAATGTGCCTGAGATGATAGAATTTCAAGGAAAGAGGGAAAAACTGAAATAGTTGCTGCTGTTCTTAAACATGACAACAATCAAGAAGTAACTGGGTATAATGACAAGGAAGAATAGGTGGTAGGAAATACAGCGTTTACCTTGGGTCAGAGAACCTGGATTTGAATCCTTGGCTTGGTGGCTTGAATAAATTAGGTTTACTAAGACTTTCCTGTCTTCAGAGTGGAGTAGATGGTAATTGGAACTGTTTAGATTGTTGTGAGGAGGATGCTTATAAATGCTTGGTGCATTCTATGGCAAATAGTAGAAATGTTTGCTGGGAAGGTTGTTATTTTTCACTTCTGATTTTGAAGTTTTCATACAGCAATAATAAAAGGATTAATTAAACAGATTTGTAGTTCAAGACTGCTGGTGGTCTTGCTTATGAAGAAAATGATAGGATGATAGTGGTAAAGTAAAACGGTGTAAGAAATGGTGTTACTGATGGTTAATAGGAAAAGGAAGTCACTATGTAAACAAGAGTCATTATGTAAACAATGCATTTTTAGTGATATTAAGGTTTTGTAGCTGTTCTCTGATAGTTATAAATCTTTACTATTAAACTTTCTTTAGAGAAAAAACCTTAGCCTGAAATTCCTTCCCTAACCTCTGTTTCCCCCACTAAATTAATTTCTTTCTAAAATGTGCTTAGTGCCCACCATTGCAAAATAGTGGTGCTGACTCTGTGTTGTAGTGAATGTGAGAGCGTTAGGAGCGGCCATTATCAGGTGAATGGAAGGTCTGGATGAGGCCATGGGGTGTTAGGCAGCATGGGCAGAACATGAGCAACGGTAGGAAACTGTTGTCTAAACTGTTGTCTTAACGGAGACAGGATTTAGTTCTGGCTAGGAAGTGAGAATGTCACAGAATTTGTGTGGTTTTTCGAAATGGCATATTTCATAGGGATCACTACTAACAGATGGACTACAAGGACAAGAGGGGAAAGATGTCATTTGTTCACTCAGCACAGCCCTTGAGGGCTTACCATTGCTAGGCACGTAATCGTCAGTAAGATGCCCTTGAGTATCCATCTAAAGGAGCCATACAGACAGGTAAACTCAGAGTAGAGTTGGTAATATGTGAATTTAGGAAAAGGAGACAGGTTAATACTGATATTTGAAGAGACTCAGGGGAAAAGACTAACAGAACAAGGCTGTGAATCTTGTAGAACTTAATGTTCTCATTGGAGTTATTTCCTTGAGACTTGAGCTCTAAGAATTTTTCTACTATCTCATAGAAGCCAGGAAAACTGCTTCTCATTATCTCAAATGGTTTAATTACTGATTTGAGTTTGTGTTGTTTCCCTAGGATGGTACACCATGGATGATTTTGCTCTGGGAGATTTCACTGTAGCAGATTATGCCTTGTTTGAGGATGGCTGTTCCATGGACGATTGCGTTTTGGCTCCTGAATTTACACCCAGTGATTATGTTCGTGTGACTCAACTTTACTGTGATGGGGTGGTGAGTAGCTTTGCCAGTTTTCTGTTTTTAGCTTTATGTTTTTGAGTGAGGTATGAACAGCATATACTGTTTAATTAGCTTTAGATAACTACATAATTTACATATGCATATATTGGGATTATCACAATAAATCAACATTATCAGTAGAAAGTTAAACTTTTTTATAAAAAGATTTATTTGTGCATACAGAACTGGGATATAGGCCAGAGGTGCAGGGGGGTGGTGGGAGTATCAACAGAGACAGAGTGGGGAGCAGAACAGGCCTACTGACGAAGCACACTGCTGAGGGGAGCAGTGGGTGGGTCAGGAGAGGTCTGCTGCGCCCTGTGGGTCACCTCTGGGGATGGAACTCTTGCTGAAGTGGCTTCACTTCTTAGTGCTGTGCTTTAACCCACTGCGCCACCAGGGAGGGGCCCAGTTAAACTTTTTTTAAGTGAGAACTTTTTTATTTTGGGGATAGATTTTTTTTTTTAATTTTAACATAATAGTTTACTTTTACATCATTTTGTGCCTTTTTCCATCTCAGTTGTAATCCCTGTGGGCTTCCCAGGTGATCTTTTAAATTTACTTCTTAAAAGCTTTTTGATTTAGAGTTGGAATAAAGATGTTTTTGTGATTATACTTTTATATAAGGAGGCATGTTTGCTTTTGAGAAAGTGATTTCAGGGGGCTGTTCCTGGTGGTGTTAAAGCACAGCACTATGAAGTGATCTGCAGCCACTGCAGCATGAGTTTGATTCCCAGCTGGGGAGGTGACCCATGTGGTGTGTCAGATCTTTCTGACCCTCTTGCTGTACCCTCAGCAGTGTATTTCAGTTTATCTGCCTGTTCTGCTCCCCACAGTCTCTGTCACCGTCCACACCTCTGGCCTGTACCCCATTTCTTGTGTGCATAAATAAATAAATCTTAAAAAAAAAAAGTGGTTTCAGAAGGGAAAGTAAGCTTTATGTCTACAAGAGTGCATGTCAGAGAGTGGTTGATGGCAAAAGATAGTTTTCTGACTAGAGATTTGGAAAAATGAAGGAGAACCACACAAAAAGCCTCAGGGAAAACTGAAAAAGACTGAAAGATTCATTGATTGTACATATATGTCATATATTTAAGGGGTTTAAGTAAAAAATGAAATTTTTTAGCTAAGAAGTGATAATCCTTCTATTAAAGTCCCAGGTACAAATCAAAAACATTTGTCAGGTACAAATCAAAAACATTTTTTTCCTTTTTAGGGTATGCAGTATAAAGATTACATACAAAGTGAGAGAAACTTAGGTGAGTACATTGGTATTTTAATTTGTTTAAAGATTATCATAGAAGATTCATCCACTCACTTCAGCATAACAGACTTTTATCTCTTTCAAATTTTTTTTTCTTATTCCTTTTTTCCCCTTTAAAACAAAATCTTTGTAAAAACAGATATAGCCAGCATTTAAATACTCTTAACAATTAGGAGGCTAAAATATTGCATGCATTCATTTCTTATTTCCATATCCATTGTTCCTTTTTTCCCTTTTAACAGTGTTAATTCATTCCAAAATATTAATTTAAAATTTTCTTTTTAATTTAAGAATTTGACATCTGCAATATGTGGTGCAGTAAGCCAATAACTGTTTTACAAGATTACTGTGATGCAATTAAAATATACATCTTCTGGCCACTTCTGTTTCAACATCAACATAGTTCTATAATATCTCGGTTGCACCCCTGTGTGGAGGCCAGGTAAATTACTACGTGTTGCTAATTTTGTATGTACAGTGATAAACGTGTTACTGAGTTCTGAGGAATGCCAAGTTCAGGGGAATAGTCGTATCTTATTGTAAATTGTTCAGCTGTTCTCTATAGTAGGGTGGAAAAGTTAATATTTGGGACTTGGATATGAATTCATGATTATAATAATATAGTGAATGAAACTGAAGAACATTAAGATGCTATAGTTGAAGCTAAGAAAGGAAAATGTAAAATGCTTGTTTATGAATATCAGCATTATATTTATATTTATAAACAAGAGAGAAAGATAGAATATTTTATCCCTTAATATGCAGCTTACTACCTGAAGTGAAGAAATAGATATCTTAATTTTTTTTTCAAATAACTAATATTGGTTAAATGTAAAATTCAGTGAATTTTTTTAACATGAGAACCTAATCTTCTAAAAATAAATCTTTTAAGCAATCATGCTTCTGACATAAGTTTGAAGAAATTACAACATCTTGAGTTGATGGAAGACATTGTGGATTTGGCAAAGAAAGTTGTGGTAAGTAGTTAAGTATGGTCCCCATAACCCCATTTAATTAATAGAAATACTTGTATAGTGTCAGGCCTATGTTACATATTTATGGTGGTTAACAGATAATAGTTTTAATTTTGATTAACTTGATATTATTCTGCTCTCTCTGAGTATGTGCTATAGGTATTTGAGAGATCAGGTAGATGGTGGTTGTAACATAATGAGAAAGAGAGGATAGAAATTGGACTTTGTCAAAGTGCTCCTGGTTCACGGGAGCCTTTATCACAGGTTCAGTAGGTGATGAGTTTTTTCTTAAAAATCATGCCACTATTGTCGCCATCACCAGAGGTATTTTTTTCTTGGGGGTAAACGTGATCATGTCAGTTTTGAGAAAGTGTCATTGTTTTACAGAGGGTTTTTTTTTCTTTTGCCTTAAAAGCAATTTGGTAATTTTTTTTATTTTCATTGATTTTGGAGCCAAGTAATCTTGGTACTGTTCTCATTGCAAGCTTAAGTTTTGAAAGGGCACCTTGATATTTACTTCCTGCTGGTAGTCCTTTGCAGTAATTTGTATCAGTCAGTAGACTTTTATAAGAAAGCCTAGATGTAATGTACTTTAAAATTCATATACCTGAAAGTTATGCTCAGTCATTTTATTATAACCCAGTGCAAGATTTTCTTCAGTTTTGTTTTTCGGTCCTTAAGGGGTAGATAAGGCACACAGGTGCTTGTGGGAAGTAGACTGCTGTACACATGTAGCACTAGAAAAAAGTGCAGGGCTTTTTTTTTTGTCCACTGGGAATTCAAGTATAACTGACGGAATAAGGGGAAATATGTGTTTTGTTCTTTTTTGTTTTGCAGAATGATCCATTCTTTATTGGAGGCTTATTGAGAATTGGTTATAAAATAGAAAATGTAAGTGTTAACCATGGAATCCCAGCACAACTACTGTGAATAAATGGCAAGCCTCCAGGCCTCCAGGGGCTTGTGAATAATTGTAGGCCTGGAAGTTTGGGCTGTGACCTGGCCAGAAGCTACCCTGGATAGCTTTGTTGCGTTCTGTTTTTTGTAGTATTCGGTTGTGTTGATTTCTATTTTGCTTAAACTACCACTTTATTTTTGGAGTCCACATCATTTTCTGCATCTCCTCCCTCCCCTCCCTAAATGAAGTTATTATTTCTGTGGTATGAACATTTTTTGACATGTAATTAATTACTAGACAGCCTGCAGATACAGTAAGTCCTCAGTGTCATCACTGATAGGTTCTTGAAAACTGCAATTTTAAGCAAAATGACATGTAATTAAAGCAGGTCCTGGCTCATTGAGTGTGGAATGGAATTTTATATTTCCCAGCAAAATTCTTCAAGGACCTGTTGTACAATAATAAGCAAATTTTTAAACCAATAAGCCACATTTTAATGCCACTTGTGAAAGTTGACACTAACATTGATGGCTGTTGAATTTCCAAAGTCACTTCAGACTCTAAACATATGTGAACTCTTGCTCCTACATTAAGATCACTGCATCAAGTGCTCATTTGCCTAGCCATTCCTGCCTCTTGTCTTTATCTCCCTTGTTTTATTCCCCACAGACCGTTTAAAATACTTAGTCCCTTTGAGGGAACCTTAAGACTGGAAGTCCTAGTTGAGGTGAGGTCTGAAATCCCTTGTTCATGTTGTATTATTGCACTTCTCTGCTATGCAGGGCAGCTTCTGGCCAGGTAAGAAACCTCAACTTGCAAGTCTGTAATCATTAAGAAGCCTCTGGAGGTCTGAGGGTAGTCTGAGGTCACCAGAGGGAATATGACATCTGTGAGTTCCTAGTATCTTTACCTTGTGTGGTGGAGACTAGCTAGCTAGGTTTCACGTTGCAGTAACGAAAGGAGCTTGTACTGTTAAGACTGAAATAACTATATAAGATAAATTTATAATGCCCCATGTAAACTTACAATAATATTCAAATCACATTCTTCACCCCCTTTTTGAAACAGAAAATTTTAGCAATGGAAGAAGCCTTGAATTGGGTGAAATACACAGGCGATGTAACAATTCTACCTAAATTAGGAGCGGTTGACAATTGTTGGCCTATGTTGAGTATTTTCTTCACAGAATGTGAGTACAAATGTTTAAAATTGTTATTGGGCTCAGGTTTTAAAGGTCTTTTTTTTTTTTTTAAGAAAATGGAGTGTGTAGTTATGATTTCTTCTGGCTTTAAAAGGTATTTCCCTCTTGTGATTAAGAAAAAAGACTTAACCTTAAAGTTAGTTATATTTTTTATTTCCTCTCTTAGAGATTTCTGTGATGTTATGTTTTTTAAAACCCTACCAAATGAGTGTAATAAAATACTGTGTGTAATACCTGAAGAACCATCACAACTGGGACTCATGTATTCTCATTCTTAAGAGAAATAATGAACAAACTAAGATTATGATTTCTTTTCCTTGATTAAGCTGTTACCCTTATGTATTGATGAAACTGCTTCATATATTTTTTTACTTCATGAAATATTTTTTCCCTAAAGCATTTAAATATTAACAGTGTTTTTATGGTGTAGGTATAGGAAGCTTGATACAGTGCATCCCAGACTCTTTAGTAGATGATGACCAATATTTGCCAGCTCTCCCAAGAAAAAGGCAAATTTTGGAAAGCAGCTATACTCAACAACTACACTACCAGTACTGATTGAAGAGAGCATATTTTGAATTGGTGACTTAAATACTAGTGAAAAATTGCACATAAACAAGAAAGATTTGTCTGGCTGGTTTATTAGACACTGGAGGTGGTTCTCTCTGTTGCCCTGCTTTACTTATAGACTAGGTCCTAGGGTGGACGTAGAGGAGCAATTTATAACATTAGCTATCCCTGTGGGTTTGTTTCTGACATTTTCTCTTTATGAAATAATGCTGCAATATAGCTGTTACTGTTCATGTTTTAGAAATGAGCACGGAAACATCAACTGATGTGGTGCTACATCTATTGTAAACAGTAGGACCTAGATAGAAGTCAGGCTCTGATCTCAAGCTCAGGCTTTCATCCTGTTATCTGCCACTGTCCCAGTATTGCTTCTGTATTGTGACCTCCCCATAACCACAGTTTTCTTGTAATAAAATTATTATTTATCACTTATAGAAAATCTTTTATGAAACAGCTTGAAAGACAGAAAAAGTGGGTTAGTAGGCTTTGACCTAAATTTTGGTTAATACTCTATTGCATTTTAATTTGCCTACTAAATTTTTATGACACTATTATTTCGAAGAATATCTAGATGTAGCATTTGTTACTCACAAGTCAAATGTTGAATTAAGACATTTAAAATTTTTCATTTGTTAAAAACCTTGTAGCAAGACATTTTCTGGGTTTCTGTTTGCAGACATTTGCATCTTCTGCATCGAACACTGTGCTAGATACATCATAGGTGCTCAGTAATGTTTGTTGAATTGACTTGCATAACCAGGAAGCCTCATCAGGGTGGTTATGATGGACCATTGTTGTAACTATAAGTGATTGTTTTTTTTTTTTTTTTTTAAGATTTATTTATTCATACAGAACTGGGATACAGGCCATAGATGTGGAGGGTGAGAGGATTCACCAGAGACAGAGCGGGGAGCAGAACAGGCAGATCAATGAAGTACACTACTGAGGAGAGCAGCGGGCAGGTCAGGAGAGGTCTGCCACACCATGTGAATCCCCTCCGGTGCAGGCGGGGATCGAACTCATGCGGAAGTGGCTTAAGCTTCTTAGTGCAGTGTTTTAACCCACTGCACCACCAGGGAGGGCTCTATAAGTGGTTGTTTTAATAGGCATAAAACAGATTAGGTTCACAGCAAGCAATGAATCTTTTTGGAACTATTATAAGCTGTTTGTTTTTAAATACATTATTTGATACAGGTAAAACGTAATAAGAAATGTGATATTTAGAAGGTATGAACTTTTTGGATTCAACTTAAGAAATTAGATCAAAACCAATTCTAGTTCATTTCTTTTTAAACAAATGTTTTCTTATTCTCTCCTAAAAATAAAATTTAGACAAGTATCACATAACTAAAGTTGTAACAGAAAACTGCAATTTGCTTGAAGAATTTAAAACTCAAAATTGTGCGGAATGTATAGAGGTGAGAATAAATATTTACTTGTAAGTATATTTTAAGGTTTACTTATGAAACTTTTATTAATACTCAGAGGAAGTTCAGAGAACATCTGACAACATACAGGAAAGTACTGTAAAATGCAGTAGCAAGTTTGAAGGGACATTTTAATAAAATTTTGATCAGAATATGTTTTTGGACGAGAAAAAAGCATGATGAAAATTTTCTTTTGTTGAGAACGTGAAACAGTTGTTTTAAAATTGAAATTTGACTTGTAATTAGAGGAGGAAATACGTTTTTCTTTGGTAGAAAGTTAAATCACATACCACATGAGTCTTCATAGGAAAGGCAATTTTTAACTAAAGTTGTAGGAAAGATTTAGGAAAATATTTAATGCTTTATTTAGTTTTCTTATTAAAGCCATTGATCTAATCCTGAATTTATTTTGAAAATTTGAGTTTAAAGTGAAAAGTTTCAGTTAACTCTGTAGTATCTTTGATTTCATATATTTTCTTGCTAACTTTGTTTTCTCATTTTCATAATTTACCAGCCCTGCCTATACTTTACTACTTTATAGATTTATTTTTTAAGTGCTGAGGTTTAGTGAGTAATGTACATTCTAACCTAAAATTAAAATTCTGCCCACATCAATTTTTTCTCCACTATATGGCAGACTTAATAGTATATGTTTAAAAAGGGAGTCTGCAAATAATGTACACAATAAATTGTTATTAAGTATTCACAATGGGGTGCTTTTGTTCATCTCTTAATATTCCTGTAACAAGGTTAGCATTGAGTCATAACTATTAGACACAAATTTCTTCAAAAGAAAAAAAATAGGTCTATATATACCCCAAAATATTGAGGATCATAAATAATTTCCTATATAAATAATCCCTTAGGTTATTTCTGATATAAAAGATAGAAACCCAGAGCTACTTTTTGTAGGTAGAGGGATTCTTGATTGTCTTTGGAGATAATTGATGGATCTTTTTTGACCTTGGTTTCTCAGCAAGGAGAACTAATGAAAATGAAAGGAAATGAAGAATTTTCCAGAGAAAGATTTGATATAGCAATTATCTATTACACCAGAGCCATTGAATATAGGTAAGAGAAAATAAAACGAAGGGATCATTTTATGTGGCCACTCAGCTTAGATTTCCTGTCAGGAGAAATGAAAGCATGTTGAGGAATTGGAGAATATTTTCAACTTGCTATGTAGAATGCATTTTCTCACCTTTAGTTATCAAAAGTAGTAGAGATGGCCTATGCAGATGAACTTAATCAAGCAATAGTGTGACTCACACAAGTAAGGCAAAAATTGTCAACTTGATTCTACCCTGCCCAAATTTATTTCATGCTTTTCAGTAAAGAGTCATGTGTTCTTTCATATTCTCATTTTACCTTCAGCTGATTCCTTTCAAGTTATTAACTGGTCATAGAGAGCTTTTTATTAATACTTAAAGATGCCACCTCTTCAGGGAGTTTTAAGAGAGAAATGTTAAAGGCTAATATTTGGAATTGTTGAGAGTGCACGTGCTCTCTCCGCCTCATCTTTTCTTGGCTCAGCTTCTAGAAGTTTGTAGCATTTGTGCAGTGTGCCTCACAGTTGGCTCCTACAGATGTCTTGGCTAGGTCAGCTGGTACTGCAGTGTTTCTCTGAGGGTACTCCATTGGGCTGAATAAATCAGGGTAGCACACCACAGTGGTTATGCTCTGTTCTTCTGAGGAAGAAGTGGAGGAAAGGAGGGAAGTGATCTCCCCTATACATAGAGAAAACTAAAAGGGGCAGCATTTGAAATAAAGCTGCTTAAAGTAGTTTATAGATGCAGTGTACAGATTTTTTTGGTCTGAATTCTTTGTCAAGGTGGTATAGATGGTATATCTAAGTCATTCTGTTCTCTAGTTATAGCATATTTTGTAAGTTGCTGACTTTAATTTTTCACAAGAACCCTATGATTTAGTCAGAAAAAGAACTCTCCACTTTGAATACAGGGAAGTTCAGGTGGATTTTTTTTTGAAGACTTATTTAGGCATACAGAACTGGGGTACATGCCAGAGCTGTAGGGGCGTTGAGAAGATTCACTAGAGACAGAGTGGGGAGCAGACAGGCAGATTGACAAAGTACACTGCTGAGGGGAGCAGCGGGGAGAATGGAAAGGTGCCAGTGGGTCAGCTCCCTAGCTGGGGATCAAACTCATGTTGAAGCAACTGCTGCTAGCTTCATAGTGTTGTGCTTTAACCCTTTGCGCCACCAGGGAGGGGCCAGTGCAGATGGATTTGAACAGAATTACTTGGGTGAGAAGTGAAGGAATTGGTATTTAGCGAGGAGGAAGTAATTTGAAATTTTTTTTGCCTCTGTTTTCTCTGAGATTTTTCTCTTGTGTATGTCATTTGCTTTACTGACTAATATTATTTGTTTTAAAGACCTGAAAATCACCTTCTTTATGGTAATCGAGCTCTTTGTTTTCTTCGCACTGGACAGTTTAGGTAAGTTTGTTAAGAGTACTACAATCCCTGCACCATTAAGCTGAATACCATCTTGGAGAACTATTTGTTTTGCAGGTTTGCAAGATATCCTTCAGGAGTTCTTTGGCAGAAGTATTATAAGAGGCCTCTGTAGGCTTTTTATATAATAGCACAGCCTCCATTCTGATTGAGTGGATAGCATGTTGATGTATTTTTTTAAGTGCTTTATGTTTTTCAGTTTTCTTAACACCTTAGTAGGTAGGTAATGTTATTCTTCACATTACCATTTGGACAAACTCATACCATTAATAAGTGGTGATGCCAGGATATGAACACAGACCATACTTGACATAATGTTAAAACCTGTGTTTATAATGCCTACAATAAAGCCTTCTTTTGCTCTATTAATTTATCTAGCTCTGGAACTATTTTTGCTTTACAGATAGACTTTTTTTATATCTTGGGATGAAAAAATTAAATCTGTTTTCTTTGTAAGTGAAAGAAAGGAAAAAGATTTCATGGTGCAGCAATGAATAAAATTATAGTTCTTAGTTCCTTATATTGAATTTGAGCTGAAATTTTGTTTATTAGTTGAGAAGCATTGCACCATGATTTTGTGTACTTCGGTAAAAAATTTTAATATGGGAATTACAAACATGGATAATAAAGCAGTGCAGCCTGTTGTATTGCACTATGTATGCCCTCTGTAAGAAGGATTTATGGTAGCTTCAAGAATATCTTTACTCAGTAGAAGAATATTAAAAATAAAACATATAAGCAAGGTAGAGCTGGGAATCCTTGGAATAAAGTGGCATAGATGTGTTATTAGTTATAATCCACTTGTATCTGATCTTTCTGTTACCCAAAATAAAAGGAAGACTTGACAAGTTACTTAATTCTCACAGTCCATGAAGAAGGAGACCAGTTGATCAGGTGAAACAGCAGTGGTGTTTTCCTGGAGTTGAGTTCTGGAAGGAAGTTTCTCTCTGGCTACAAGTAACAGGATGGAGTAGAGAAAAACCTCCATTGCATTGTTCATAGCAAAGATACCCCTGACGGTGCAGTTGGGGCTTTAGAAATGATTTTTTTGTGTGAAGTTTCTCATGAATGCTGATAGTCGTATCAGTTGTTTTTAAGTGAATACACCTATATTGGGATGTGAATGGGTGGGACTGGGGAAGATAGTGTGTTCCAAGTATATAGCTTTAAAAAATAACATTATGTTTTTCTTTTATTATAAACAGAACACATTCTCATGGTAGAAAATTTGGAAAATACAAGAGTTTAAAAAGAAGAAAATAACAATCACCAGTAATCCAACCACCTCGGAGAATACCGCTGTATTAACGTTATGCAGCTTTTAGATGGCTTAAGCCGTGGATAAACCGAGGCTATCTAGACTAGAGGAATGGATGGGCTTGACACAGTCTTCCATCAATACCACTGTACTCAACTGTCCTGACAAGAAATGAGCTGCAAATGTTTTTAGGTTATTACTTCTGGCTAGGTCCAGAATTGCAGATTTTCTGTGCTGTTTAAAGGCGAATCTGTATGTTTTCAAGACGAATAGGTTGGCAACTTCTATCTGAACCCTCGATTGGGCGGAATGTCATCCACTCTGCGTAGGGGAGCTCTGAGCGATGAGAGGCAGACTGGGTGTGTCTGTCCTCTGGTCTGAGTGTTGAGTGCCGGACACTCTAGGAGGACTGCCTAAAACTCCACTGCAAAGGAGGTATATCAAAGTAGAAATACTGAGGCCAGGTAGCCTAGTGAGATACAGGACAAGAGCAGGGCTGTGCATTGCATCCTCTACCTCTTTCCTGATGCGCTCGCTTGAGGCTCGGCACTCTGAGAGTTCTGTCAGAGGAGGTCAGCCACTTTTCACTATTGGGTCATGGTTAGTGCTGGCTACCTGTTAATGTCAGAAGCATTATGCCACACTGGTGTGGCTAGGGTTTCCCGCCTCCTCACACAGTGTTTATGTGACTTGCTCAGTAATGTAGGGATAATGTTTTCTGAGCCCACAGCATAGGTAGTAACTCCTGGTCAAATGAGTAGGTGGTGGGACTTCAGTAAAGAACATATTGCCACTAATTCAGAAGTGCTACTGACACGGGAGGACCCATACCCTCTCTAACTGTGTTGCCAAGGTGGACATGTTTGGAAGCTCTCACATCAGAAGGTTGATTGTTCTGTAGCAGGAATCTGCTGAGCAACTGTGGGGACAGTTGGGGGTACAGCATTGAGTCTTCCTACACTTGGGCAGGATGCACTCTTCGCTGTTCTGCAAGGCCAGACTTTGTCTCCCATTGTAAGAATCGAGATGTTCGAAGGACAGAAAAGTAAATTTTCATTTGATACTATAAAAGAGAAAGGAATAAGAGAGTTGTGAATGCTAGAACTTCTGAAGTAGTTTAATCCTACTTCAGAAGGATTAAAAGAAGCACTGAATTAAAAAATAATACCTTTGGTAAGAATAATACCTAAAAGGGTAAAAACCACCACCACACTTTTCTACAACCTGGCTGGTGCTGTTCTAAGGACTTTATGAGTTGAGATGTGACTCCTAAAGCTCTCACGACTCTGAGCAGGTGCTGCTGTCTCTTTACCGATGAGGAACAGACATGAGTAGGGGAAGAGTGTCCTTGGACACTCCGTAGGTGTGATGGAGCCAGAATTTGAACTCAGAATATGAAGTTGCTCCAATGAACAGTGGTGATAGAATCAAAGGGTGATGTGAAAGTTGGGGGGATAAAATAAGCAAACGATTCAGTTGGTCAGTAAACACAATTATCCTTACAGGACATGCAAATTAAAAACTGTGAGTCTCTTCAGATTGGCAAAATTTTACAGTCTCATAACACCAAGTGTTTGAGAGGATGTGGAACAAATGAAACTTTCATACTCGGCTGGAGAAAGTGTAAATTGGCGCAGTCGCAGTGGAGAGCAATTTGGCAAGGTGAAGATGTCATTCTCGGCAGCTCTTCTAGGCTCTCACCCTCCAAACTCCCGCATGTGTACTCACGAAGATGTGTACAAGCCTTCGTTAGAGCATTGCTTGTGACAGTACAGAAATGGAAGCCACCCAAATGTCCATCTCTAGGGAACGGATAAATAAATCATGGTATATTCCGACAATGGAATTCTGTGTAGCGTTACAATGAATGCTATGCTGAGTGAAAAAGCAAGTTGCAGAATGTTTTGTATGGTGTGATGTCATTTATATACTGTTCAAAAATATGCAAAATGATATGCATATCCATAATTAATACATAGTATGTATTAAAAATGTTTTTTAAATGCATGAGCATGTTTAACACTAGGGAAGTGGCTCTCTGGGGAGGAAAAGGAGAATTGGAGATGGGAGAGATGTGTGCACAGTGGATGTCAACTGTTAACGAACTCTGGAAAAGATCTGAAGTAAATTTGGCAAAATGTTAAGATTCTGTTAAGGTGGTCCCTGGGTGTTCACTATGATGATGTTATTTTCTGTGCTTATGTGTAAAATTGAGATGTTTGATAAAAGGTGACACATTGTTATTAAAAATGCACAAAGAGGAAAACCAAAAACAATGATTACTAAGTATCAAGGATAAATATAATCTTGAAAAGAGAGAAATACAAGTACTTTAAGACTAATGGTGGGGAATCTGAGGTGAGGTATGTATGGGGAAAATGTTTCATTACAAAATGGTCAAAGTGCTGGTGCTGGTTTAATGACTAACAGTCACTCCAGGTCTGCAGAAGCTGCTCTTGGGGAAACGCGGGGGGAGGGGCTGGCTGAGAAAGGGGTGGGTGCAGCTTGCAGCTCCTGCCAGCTTCTCCATGCTGAATCCTGCTGTCTTGAGGAGGTGTGTGGGGTGTCCCAAAGCCTGCTTGGAGGAGAGCTGGTTTTTATTCTGGTCGTCTAGACGTTCACTTTTCAGATCCAATTTGGTATTCTAGAACATTTTAGATTGCTAATTGTAATTGAAATCATTAGAAATCTTCAGTTCAGAGGAGAATCTAGAAAAAGGAGTCAGGCATATTAGTCGTTACACAGTATATGTGATCAGTTTTTGCCCACTTACTGTTTAATTCATTTTTGTGGAGCTCACCTGTGAAAAATTAAAGTTTTTTGATGGCATGTGACAAATTTCGTAAGGGGAAATGTTATTGGACAAAGAAAGCTTAGATGGATTCATTTTTAATTTACTCTGGGAAATAGTGGAATTTATGGACTTGATACTTATCTGGACCTTTTGTTATTTAACTTTACATTGTGCTACTCCCATCTACTGGATGCTAGCCTGGATTAATAGATTCCAGTGACTTCTCTGGCCTTAATTTTTTCCTGAATTTCTCTGAGACCCAGTGAAGTATGAATCGGTTGTGTTTCTGTGGGAATGTAAAACCCGACTGTGTGCATCTTCATGTGGACGTGTTGTCTGTTCTTACTTGTGTGGTCTCGTTGAAAGTCACTGAGTTTACTTGTGAAAAAAAAATTAATTCTTCAGTCTTTGGGCTGTACCTTTTTAAAAGGCCTTAAAAATGCACATTATAAAAAATTACAAAAGGATAAATTCGAGTCTTGCTCAGTTCAGACCCAGTGCCTCCGCCCTCGTTTTCAGGTTCATGTGTATTTCCATGTTTTATCTTTCTAGTCAGCACTTACATTGAGTCAGATGGAGTTTCCATTTTTATAACTTCAGAATACAGGCAGTTTCATTGGGGTCAGTGTAATCTGTGCATTTTTTGTTTCTAATACCTAGGGGCAGCTGCATGCATACCATTTATGTCTTGATTTCTTTTTTTGTACTTACATCTTGGATTCTATTGCATACCAGTGTATCTGGAGATCTGCCCTTGGCTCTCTTCATGACGCATAATCTTAAAGGGTTACTCGTACTTAAGTTTGCACTGGTGTGCTTAGTTTCAGTTTAAAAAATTATACAGCTCTGTAATGATTTTCCTTTTTATGTTCTGGTAAAGCATATCTGTAGAAGAAATTGCTGATAAAATTCTTTTATCATAACCCTTTT